GGGGTCGGGAGCGGCTGCGCTTGGGCTGCAGCCCAAACCTACAACTAAGAACGTGGGGATTGGAGGTCCCTGCTTGGAGGCGCCCACCTCAAGTGGCACCTTTATTCTGCAGAATAAACCTTTCTTTTAGCTGGGAAAATGATTCGCTGTTTAATTTGGGAAAGTACCAGAGACCTGAGCTGAGCTGAAAGAGTGAGGAGGCACCAGTAACATTTCTGTGGGGAAAGGTGTTAATTGGGTCATTCCTTCCACCATCCCGTGTGGCAGCAGCCTAATTCCTGGGGGAATTGTGGCAACCATGTCATTCCTTCCACAATCCACGTGGCAGAGGCATAATTCCTGTTGGAAAAGTGGCAGCTACAGCAAAAGCCAGCACTGCCGGCACCCAGAGTCTTGGCACCGCTTCACACTTCCCTTGGCAGCCTCACTCCAAATGGGGCTCTAGGCTTCCTCCATCTGCTAACTTCACCCTATCACCAATGCTCAACACCAGCATTTCCTCGGGAAAAGACTCATGCTTGGCCCACTTGGTGGTTCGGGTGAGAAACAGGGTTGTTGGTGTGGAGGCATCTTCCCAACGAAAGATCCAAATGCGGAACCTTCCCGCCCAGCTCCCCAGCACTGCTGGTTTCCTCATCAGCCGCTGGGCGCTCGGATCCCTCTGCTTCCAGCCAAGCTGCTTTCCCCTCCTTTCACTGAACGTTGCAGCTCCTGCGCACCCATTGCAGAGCCCGTCCCCATGGGGGCCATGTCAGCCCCCATCCGTGCCCATCTGCCCAACGCAGTGCTCTGCACTTCCCTTTCTGGTCAATGAAGTTGTTTCCAGTCGATCCCGTCCCCTAGAGCAGCCCACGCCATTGTCCACGGCCATGAGATAAGGCAGGACGCGCATTCGCACCTCAGGCCCTCTGGATGCTCCGTGCTCAGGGCCCCTTTGCTCTTTCCTGGTCTATTCCCTCTATCTCCAGCACCGCGGTGCACGAGATGCCTGAGGGACTGCAGAGCAGCGAGCCTGCCCTGGTGCCTGCAGGACCAGGACTGGCTCCTGTCACAGCCTGTCCTACATCGGGCCAACGAGCAGTACACAGGAGTTATCCCACCTACATCCCCATCCTGTTCAGCCGGGAGCCCACGTTTCCCTGCTCTAATCCCAGGAGCAGGGAGACTCGGCTTTCCCCAAACCCACCTGCTACTGCCGGACGGTTTTTCTGCCACCCTCCTTTGCAGCCTCTTCCTTCCTCCCCTTTTCCCGTGTTTCCCTATTGCCCTGAAGGCCCCATTCCTGTTCCCTGGTTAGTCCAGCTGGGCTCCAGAGGGCTTGCCTCATTTTACAAACCGTTTGTACGTTTGTATGCAGCATTCTGCTGCTTGACAGATGCTTAATTAGCAGCTGCCTTTCCTGAGCTTTCCAAGCCACTTCCCTTTCGCCCATGGTTTTCCCCCCCAAAGATCCTGCTTGGAAGCAGGAGAGAGAAGAAGAAGAAACAAAAACAAAAACAAAAACAAAACAAGAAGAGGGGATCATCACTGCCCTCCCCCTCAGACAGCTTTAGGGGCCGTTTCGGCCATTTTTAGGGGCCGGTTCTCGGCTCGCGGCTGCACGGGCGCCGCCTCATGGCGAAATGGTGGCACTGCGCGTGCGCGGGGGGGCGGGGGGAGCGTGGCGGCGCAGTGCGCACCCGCTGGCGGGGGGGGGGGGGGCGGGGCCCCCCGC